CTCACATATCTAAGTGGGCTAACTGCAAGTTATTCATAAACTTCCAGCAGAAGTACAAGGATCCAAGTTCAGTCTATAAAAACAAGGTTTTAGCATTCTAGAATGAGTACCGTCGAAGATCGATTTATCTGTGTTTTCAACATACCTCCAGAGCGTTTCTTCTTTAACAATGACAGGCAACCATAACTCGAACCTAGGGTTGGGGAAAGGAATTGACTGTCTGACGCTTTTGAGGTAGGAGGTTCTACTTTGCAACGAGCACGTTTCTGAGGCTTTCGTGATGATCTCACTTCATCATTGCTTTCTTGATCACTGTCGCTCCCTGCCTGTCAATTGTGAAAACACTAATACATGACATTCTACAAAGCGCATCAAAAGAAGTGTGCACTGGTATTCAGTAATCCCAGAGGAAAAGTATGACAAGGTAATGTAGATAGTGGTTTTCAGACCCAATAAGTGTCAACTGATAGGAGAGAAAGTTAATTATAGCTATATCTAAGAATATGAAACACCCCAATCATTTTTGGTAGTTTGTCCATCCACTTTATTTCATAGAAGTAATAGAACGACATATACAACGTGCTGGAGGGCATACTTGCACAACAACGCCATAACTGCTTGTCCTTCATTTTCATTGATATTATAGTAATTGAACCATTCAGTCTCATAAGATGAACTTGACTCAAGAAATTTCCTTGTTTATTGAGATGACATCTTGATAACTGAATCAAAAATAATCTCACCAAATTGCTGTAGTGATCAGTCATCATAGCAATCAACCCAGTAGCAGATGCAGTTCCATGAGGTAGAGATAAGTATGCCTGATATAAAGGAGCCAAAATATGTTAGTGTATAACTTTTAGAGCACACAGTTGGGGACCAATTTTCTATCAAACACGTTTCCTAATTTTACAAAGCTAGATCTTAATAAATATGTAGACGAATGTTAACACAATTTTCCTCCTCATTGACATTAAAGACTCACCTGCCGTTCAGGTTAACTACTTTTCCTCCCACCAATCACCACAAAGATAAATATCCAGAATTGGGTGAGCTATATAATCAGAGACTGAAAGTAATTTTTTTTTCTTTTTTTTTTTTTGCTATTTTATATCACAAACATATTTTCACTGAGGCATTCTATCACATCCAGAGTTTTTAAGTAAAACAAGCTGAGGTGTTACGGTTACTGCTAATATTTTACAAGATAGAATGGATAAAATTATTTGCTGCTCATATCTGGCTACAAAAGATTTACGGCCAAAAATCCTTACTAGCAAACAATGTATATACTCGAAAACATTGGTCGACCATCTGGACAAGCTGTCAGTTGGCCTAAAATAGCTAGTTTTGGTAGACAGATATTTAATCAATATTATAGTGTGGTAACAGTGTGTAAAAAGTACAAGCTTGAAACATGAAAGGTGAAATTATTTAGTAAGAAGACAGAAGTAATCTCATCATTATCTAATCGTTGTGGTGATCTAATCTTTACAGTTAGAACATAAAATAAAAAAGCAAATGTACCCTATTCATTGTGTAAAGGGCTTCCACCATTTCTGGAGAACGATTTCGCACAGCACTGGCTAACTGTACCCATTGAAAGAGACAAAGAATCAGCTGTTAGCCATAACGAATTAGGTCATAAAGAAAGCTACATAAAGCCCTTCAATGGGATGATCACACCATATTATTTTACTGACTGAATAAGTATTTATAAATATAATTTTAGGCAACAAATTTAAGCAATCACTATGCATGTTCAAGATTATGAGACAAAAACTAATTCAATCTAACCTTTTTCCAATCTTTACCATTTTTGCGGTAAGAGTCATAGAAACGAGTTAGCTCTTCCACAGTCCATCGAGGCCCAAGCATGTCAGACAACTTTCTCTTCTGCACTTTCTAAAGGAACTAGTCATTCTAATGATTCATACTGTGTACAACCCAACTAGCCATTTGCACAAAGATAAAAAGTAATAAAAAGATACCAAGATACACCATGTATCCTTCCAATATCACAGTCCAGAAATGTGATGCCAGACATTTCAATAAAGACTCAATAATCTGATAAACAATGCATTTTCATGAATATTCAGATAAAATTCTAGCTTATCTAACAAGCAAATTTTACTCAAAAAAAACATCAGGTTAATTATAACACCACTAAGATAAAGGTTAATGATAGTGATACATTTAACTGCATCAAGGACTGCGTTTTACTCGGTGAGAGTGACTTGTAAATATAAACTATAGAACAGTATAGTAGAACAGCAACACACCCGCCTATTGCTTCTTTTAGAACCATCCCCATCTTTGCTAGGAGATACATCGGGAACATAAGAGTAACGTTTATTCAGACTTTTAGAATTTCTTGTGGGTCCCATGATCAGCTAAAATTAAGATCCTCTGCACAAGTAGCAAATAGAAGTCAACCTTAACAATGCAATCATTACACGGTCTACCTTTTAACGTATTTAATGAACAACAGGTACTTAAAATCAATGCATACACTTGCTCACTTAGGCAGACAAATTATTCAAAATGAACGAGAAAAAGGGCGCCAAATGAACTCATAACCATCATTGATTAAATAATGCAGCCACTAAAAGAAGAAATAAAACAGACGAAGAAATTGAAATATAAGTTTGACAGCCCATTTAACACTTCAAATTAACTAAGAGTAGAATATGACTTAACAAATGTCAAATGAGCAAACAAGAAATTACTTCCAGTCATCAGTAAAGTTGCACCTATGAAAAGCAATTTTAAAGTCGGCCACCATTAAATAAGTATACCAACAAAAAGAGCAAAAGAACCAAAAACCACTAGGACCAAAAAAAAAAAGACCTGAACAAAATGAAAATGATAAAATCAATAAACAATTAACCTGTTTCAAAGTAATAAACTTCGAACTACCACGTTCAACATCATTTTACCACATTCATATTCACATAACATCTCTTCAAAACACCAGAACTAATCCGACGAGCAGCTTAATGACTTTTCAAATTCAAAATTAAACATAATTCAAAAATTAAAATAAAAAATCTTTAAATTCATACAGAATCTCAGGAGCAGAAAGCAAAAATGCACGAGTAATAACCAAGATTAAAACATATGCAAAACAACACAAAAACTCGAAACAAGAACTCCGAATAGGAAAACAAACAGCACACCAGTAGTCGACGGTGTTCAAATAAACACCACCTCAAACGAATCAGGAACCAAATCAATCGGAACCCTAACTACGCAGAACTGAAATTCAAAATTTTAAAGCAAATTGAAAATAAAAGATCAGCAAAGAGGAAAAAAAACCCACCTTTCGTTCCAATGTATCTATCCGATGAATTCAATCGCAGCAATGGAGAAAAACGCTGTAGATTTAAAATTAATGAACAATTAATGGTAAGAGATGAGAATACGAATTTTCCTGCGAAGAGTGAGACTTTAGAAGGAGAAAGGGAGAGTGTTTAGAGAGAGAAAGGTGGGAAGAAAATGAATTTATTTTTAAGTCATTTTTTCTTGAGGGGGGTAATAACCGCGAAAATCTTTTCTGTATTCGTTTCTTCAAAGGGTTGGTTAATTGCAAATATAGGTCCCCCAAATATTTCCTTCTCACATTTCTCCACTCAATTAAATTGATCTTTGTGCGTTTACTAGTCCCACTATTCGTGACATGGCCGCGGGCCGATCCGGCCCGCTGCCCTGGCATCAGACCGGTCTCGGCCAGGCCCGAAATAGGGCGGTTACACGATCGAAATTGTGGATGTGCGGTTCGATTCCGGTTCTTCTCCTTCTTTTATCCCGGCGATTGGGGCCGGTCCGGGCTGGGTCCCGGGTTGAAGGTCGCGGGCTTTTTTTTTGTTTTGGTCCGCAGGTAAGCCCGGTCCGGCTCGAACCGACACGCGAAAAGTCTGACAATTGCCGTCAAAGTATCCGTTGGGCTCGCTGGGCCGCGGTTCGGGCTGGTTCAGGTCAACGGTCCAAAAAAACATAATGGTCGTTGGATCGTGAGGACCGTTGAGATCCAACGGCCAACAGCGACCAGCCCGACCGACCCACCGGGCGACCCGAAACCCGGCGTGACCAAATAAAAAAAACTGAAAAATCTGCCAAAAAAATCCTAAAAAAATTCTATAAATAACCCTCCCTCCCCATCCCTCATTTCACTCACTCAAAATCATCTCTTCTCTCAATTATCTTTCTCTCTTCTCTCCTCCTAAGTGCTCGGTTTTTAGTGCTCGGTTTATAGTTTTGTATTCGGTTTTCAAGAAAAAAATCCAAAATATTAAAAAAAAAAAACCACATCTACAATATTTTCTTTATTGTTTCACCATATTCTACATTATTTTTTCCTATTTTATATTTTATTCTTTAACTTAAAAAATGTCGACTTCTCGTGGTGGTGGTCGTGGTTCGATCTCCGGTCATAAACGTAGAAATATCAGCACTTCTTCTTCGAGACCTCCATTGCCAGAATTTGCGAGTCCATCAATACATATGGATATTCTCGTTGTAGGAGATGAAATTGATGACACAACGATCGATTACATGTTTGTCTCAATTCAGCCTGAGCAGTAATAGCCCCAGCAGCCATATCACGACCATTTGGATGATTTCTTTTGAGCGAGCCCGGAGCCCGAGGAAGAGACACAGTCGGACCCGGCCTCTGTCTTCGCCTGTGGCAGACCGGGGTTCGCCATGTTCGAACGACATTACATGAAGACTCCCAATATAGAAAGGGGTGAGAATCACTATTTTGCTGTTTGCAACTACTACCCAGTCAATGACAAGAAGAGGTACCATTTCAAAAAAGACGATGGGTACGAATCCTTGAACCGACTCCAAAAGAGCTACCATCCGACAAAGTTGTGAATTGACACAGCACAGATGCAATTCCCCAATAGCAGCGCTACTTCCGCCATGACTGGTATAGGTACGCCATCTTTATTTCATTACTCGCATGAAAATCAAAGACGTCATTTAGTTGAATTTGTTAATGCTTCATCTCTTCCATTTTGTTTTGGTGATAGTGATTTATATGAACATTTTTCTCAAATGGCTTTCAACTTGGCTGCCAACCGAGTTCCACGTACTACTCTTACTCGCGATATTTGAAAAATAGTTAGTGAAAAAAATTTAATTTTGCAAGAAGCCTTTTAAATCTTTAACCATAGGAATCCATTTGTGCTGATATCTGGTCTGATCATTGGCAAATAACTACTATTTGGGAATTACTTGTCATTGGTGTTAGAGTTATATACTGAAAGTTTAGCTTTGGATGATATTATATTTTTACCCTTTATGAATGAGAAACATGTTAGATTAAACAAGTTCTACGTTCTGTTGTTTTGCAATTAGATAGTGTGGGTTGTCATCGGGCGAATCGAAGATCATTCCATCAGTTACTTGAGAAACAAGAATTAATGGTTCACAACCTAGATGGACATGAACACCTCATCAGAATGGTTGTAGTGTCAACAGTACAGTTTGTATTGACTGATTAGTTGCACTAGTACATTTATGTATTGAACATGATCCCAGAGAAGAGTAGTTTGTTTTATAATGATCGTCGTAAACGAACTAGGCCTCGGTTAATTACTGCATTCTCTTAACCTGTAAGATATTAAACAGACATATATATGTAGTACATATTACTTTGATTCACATGTGTGAGGTTTAGTATACGGACCAATAGACCCACTGTCTTAGGTAATATTGTTGCATGTATGATGTGTTGTTAGGATATTTTCGGCTACCATGTACGTTTAGTTTAATGATGTTCCCGGAGTGAGTTCATGAAGGATTAACATGCTAAACCTTGCAGGTGGATTAAATTCCGACATAGTAAGAATGTGATGAACGAGCACTAGCTTCGGTGAAATAATAATAAATTAATTAATTCTTGATTATCAATGATCAAATTAATTAATGGGCATTATATCTTAAACATGGGGAGATAATTCGAGAAATTATTATTGAAATCTCAATTGTAAATTGGGCTAGGAAAAGTGAGTGTAATAATATTATGATGGTGGCCCGTAATATTATTTAATTAATTAGAAGAGTGGGTTTGGCCCACAGTTAGTCTAATTAATTAAGGAGTTCTATTCCTAATCTTCTAAGAGTCCCTACTGTAGCTCTATATATACATCATTAAGCTCATGGGAAGAGAAGAGAATCCCACATAATTATTCATACACGCGCCGCCCCATCTCTCTCTCTCTCTCAGTTCTCATTCGAGTTTTATCTTCTTCTTGTTGCTCCACTAATACAAGTTGAAGAAGGGTGTTTGAGATATACAGTATAAGATCGCGTGGTTTATTGAGATACATACCCCTCAATCTGGGTATAAACTTTCGCAATAAGCCTAGCTTTGAAGGTTTACACCTTCCCATTCGATCCTCTCTTTCTCTTATAGATCCACTTGTATCCAATGGGTCGTACCCCATCGGGTGGTTCTACAAGATCCCAGACCTGATTAGAGTCCATTGACCCCATCCTAGCATTCATTGCAATTTTCCATGAATTTGCATCTGTATCTTGGAGTGCCTCGTTGTAGGTCCTTGGGTCTGATTCTAGGTTTTTGGGTACTGAGCCTGAAGACTCTCTAAGACCTATCCATCGGTCGGGTAAATGAGAAACCCTCCCACTACGACGAGGTACTGTATGCACTGGTACACTCTCAGTGTGCCGTGTTCAGTATTTTGTGATGTATTTACTTGTGCACTCGGTGGGAACTGTCGTCTTCACCCCTCAACTCCTATAAGACTAGTCTATTCGCGGGCTTATTATTCATAATATAGTCTTCTTCCAAGAATATAGCGTTCGTGCTAATGATCACCTTCTAATCCTCAGAACTATAAAATAATCTACCTTTCATTCCCTTGGGATAGCCAATGTGTACTCGTGCTTCCGAACATTTCTCCAACTTGCCAGCTTCCTGCACTAACACGTGTGCAGTGCTACCCCATATTCGAAACTGTGAGAATTGGGCTTGCGCCTTTTCCACATCTCATAAGGAGTAGTCTCAAGCGACTTTGAAGGAACCGTGTGTTGGGATCTATGAGGATCTCGTTATGTACAAATCACGAATTCAGTAGAAAACGTAAACCTATGCGTAGCGGATCTAAAGGTTTGCATAGAAAACTTACGGCTTAAAATTTATGGCGATCTGGCTGATCTTCCGGATAGCCGTACAAACACACGAACTGGATTGGATCACGAATGGAACGTCGGGCTCACAATCTTATCGTGTGGACGGAGCTGATCGAATCGTCGGCCTTGGGTCGCCGGTCGCAGGGGCACGTGTGGGTTGCTATCGCGCGTAGCGGGCGCTAATCGGCGCATGGGGCTCACGTCGGGCTTGGCTGATTCGTGAATC